AATTATGACAAATCGTATTTAGAGTATCCATTAAAATATGAAATGTATACAAATAATGAAATTATGTAGAACCTTATTTTGGTGTTTTCTAAAACCTATTAATGCTCGAATAATATTTTGAACTGATGGTGTGTTCCATAAATTACCTATAATTTACATCGCGGAGTATAGCATGACTGTAGTTAAATCATTATTATTATCATAGGGATATATACTTTATATTTTAGATACAGATTATAATATGGGAGTTATTCCGTTATCTTCTAAATCGTTGTGTTTATTTAATAATATTTCATAAATCAATTTTAACGGGGATTTGTACATTTTATTTCTATATTATTATAATAATTATTATTTACTTTTTATATCATAATATTTCCTATCTATACTATAACATTATTATTTGTTTATTTTTCACCGTCAACATGAATTATTGACATGATATTATATAATTAGTTATTCACGTTACGAAACATTGTTTGGCTTTGGGTTAGGTGCGTTTAATTTGTGGGCATGAAAATGATCTATCTATAAGTATTTATGCTAATTTAATGCAATAAAATAAGTATACGTAGATGTTGTTGTGATGTTTATAAAAACGTCTCATTAATGTCAAGTTTGTATGCACATTTTAGTTTTTATTATAGTTAGATAATTTAGTAAATGATGCACTTTTATTATTGACGTTCAATATAGGTTAAACTTGAAGAAAAAGAACCACTCAGCCGTGGCAATGTCGTATATACTTATTCATTATGTAACGCATCTGATTAAGGAATTATTAAAAGATTAATATTTACCTTTATGTTAATAGTGATCGCGTAATGAATTTACAGAGAAAGCGAAAAAAAATGCGCATGAGAATATATTTTCTTCGATTTAATATCCTTTTTATATATGAACTATAAAATAATAAATATTGACTGAAATAGCTTGTTTTAAGGTTATTTTAATTTTATTAGAGGACTCCACGCACCTGCTTTTTATGCTTATAGTGCTTATGAACATATAGCCAATTTTAAAGAAATGTCAAGAAATATTAAAATTAAAATTCTTAAGTACCTATATATTTAAATACTAACTTAACGTGACTTACAAGTGGTTCCATGTCGGTACCCATTGTTGGCTATTGTAAGATTATATAGAAAAATGGTTTCCTTCGAATCATGGGTAATTTCATAGTTCAGAAACCATTTAACATAAAATAAAGAATATTACAATATTTAATGTGTCGTAGTGTTTAATTTTTTTTTTTTATATCATTTGTAGGTACAAAAAAAAGTTGTAACTGATTTAAAACCAGTTATTTTTATGTTTATTAAACTTGAGTAATTATTTTATATTAATTGTATCAATTAAATTACAACGCTACGATATACCAATTAATAGTGCCTTCTGTAATGTATATACATTTAGTTTCCCAACTATGACTGTACTTTGAGTGGTTCTTATTTATGTCCAGCTGTTTTTACAAACAATTTATGGGCGTGTGTCATCCTTTTATAGGAACGAATTGACGTCTCTATAGAACGATAATTAAATTTAGGTAACAAATTGATTTTATGGTTTATTTTTGAGATAATTCATTTTATAAATTTTAAATGGTCAAAAATTAAATCAAATGATAACCAATAATTAAATTTTAATTTTAGTTATATTTTACCTATTGCAATTTGCAGTATCTTAAAATGCAATCATATTATTATGATTGTCGAAACTCATTTTTATGGCAGGTATGTGCATATTTGTACACGGTGTATAGTAAATGTAGGTAATACCTATATTATATTAAAAAAAATTAAATTTAAGGCATAGTGTTAAAAAAAATAAAGAAACACTGTAAATTGTTATACTGTTTCTGAATTATCTAAAATTAATATTACACAAGTAAAATACTATTTTTTCTAAAACAATTTTACTAATCTGTTTTATCGCGCTTCGGCTAGATTTGAATTATAAATCATCTGTATTCAATCAAGCATACAATTTACTACAAGATGTTTCATTGGGTAGAATGTAGTATGCAAATAAAAGAAAATATGTATGGACAGTATACTGCAGTGACTGACTGGGTGTTGGGCACTTAGATCTTGTCTCGATTCATTCACCTTGGCAATCCACAGTGTTTTATTAATAATACTCAGTTTGAAAGCTAGAATAAATTTCCGTTTTTCGGAAAGATTTTTAAAATGTGAAGAGTACCTTTACCAAAACGTTTTTATAAAGAAAATATTTTCAAAATTAATTGGTTATACTATATATTATAATAAATATAGTAACTATGAAATAAATAATCAGTTAGGTCGGTAATTTGAAATATTTAGATTAAATATATGAAGTTATAAAATAATGTATTTAGTTTGAATCAATCAGTAACATTGTGGTCGTGCGATTTATTCCTATTCTGAACACTTTTATGTAAAAAAAAAAAAATGTCACTTTATTTGCATGTATGTGTTTATTGTATACAAGTTATGGACTTATACATACAACATTACAAAATATTACCACAAAATGTATTATATACTCATTCCTGCCAAATGCAAGATTTTCATTACATTAACACAACGATTAGGTATTGTAAACGTCCCCTATACAACGATGCAACAAATATTCATAATAAGAGATTTGAGGTCTTCTTACTATTTAGCGTACCTCTGGGACCGTTGATTGCATTACATTATCTAATATTTGTTGCTGGTTTGGACGTCGTCTTAACGTTAGGTTGTGTTATACATCAATATACGCTTGTATATTATGTGTCGTATGTGTAATTTAGGTGCGTATATTGAAAAAAAGAGAAATGAGCAGCTCGTGATCAGTGCACTGCAGTTGACGGACTGCTTATACGTATATATTATAAATTATAATATGTATATTCTATAATATGTGAACACGAACAGCTGAATCCAATTAATCAAGACACTGAGCGAGGTCTTAAACGTTGGTATGTATATATATATATATATAAATATTATATGCGTGCGCGGTAAATAAAACCCCATATACATATTCTATAGGAACGTTCACGTTTTTACACCCACCGAATGTGTTAATGTGTTAACTGTGGTAATTTATTAATTTTTTTCAATATAAAGAACTACATAATATGACGTTCCTACATCATAATAATATAATACAAGTGGTCTGAAGAAAAAAAAATAATCATTTAATTCATATATCACCTGGAGTATAATAATATTATATGTACATATATATATACCTGCGCCTCCGTGTGCATGGGTACCTTCGTCTCGGATGGTGTGAATAAAAAGTCGTCTAGATGATAATTATAATAACGGTGTGTAATAAAAAAAAAAAATAGAAATAAAAAAAAAAATGGTAGAACGTGCATGTTAAACGGCGTACATTTATACTGTATATACAGTGTACATATATATATATATATCCACCCGCTGCACTGGTTGACTGTGTACGGTATATACAAGGTCGTCGATTCGATGGCCCTCGAGGTAGCAAACGAAATTTATCGAGTGGTCTTATACGTCGTGGTATATATTATAAATATATATACTATATAATATATATATATAGGTACCTACATATATAGGGCCACCGTGTCGAGTGTCCCGAAGCGAATGACATGTACATGTCGTATGTGCAGGGTATATCTACCTCCCATTGGTACTCTATATTATGTACCTCGCAAGGAATGACCTGGAAAAAAAATAATTCAGAAGTGCGTAAATGTATAGACAATGCATGGTGCGTGTCGTATATTATGTACATATGCATACGCGGAATAGAGAAAGGCTTTGGACTTGGCGCAATGAGTTTTTGTTGTCTGCATATAAGCGCACGGCTACATAATAGGTATGTACCTGGTAAGGTATACCTACCGCTATGGTAATGCTGAACTGTGCATTCGGCGGCCCTGCAGGACGGGTTTTATATGCACGCAATAATACAGGATGATTCAACCAACGTTGCCGCCTCACACCCGATTTTTCTTTGATAATTCACTTAACTATTAAAAATTTGTTTTTGCAATTTTTAGTATACTCCAGCCTCCAGGATCAGATTTTTAAATTCTTGGATTTCTTATACCATAAAAGGAGTGTCCTGTAGGAAGCGAGGTTACAAAACGATTATTTTAATTACAGAATTACCATTTTAACAAAGGTTCGTATTCCCCCCCCCGATTATTTTTAAAAAGTACTGAGAAATTTCTACTTTTGACACCCAAAGTAAAATTATACCGAATCTGACATAAAAACCTACCGTGATGTTGATGGTTGGAGCTTTTTTTTTATTAGAAAAAGTTTCCTTTGACGGTAAAAAAAAAGAACATACATATACCTATCGCCCAGAATCTAAAAAAAAGTTTTGTATCGATACTGCAGGATTGTGAAAAGTACTAAAATAAAATCTAGTTATTTAAAAATTTGGTCTTAACCGTATTAAAAATTAAATAAAAAATCAGAATTATAATAAAATATGCATTATTAAGGGTAAATGGAAGGGAAAGGGTAGTTCTCCATCATAATTAATGCTTGGCGAATCACCTTGTAGCTTATTGAACATTGTTGTGTACATATATCTCTTATGGGATCGACGCTGAATTGTATAATGGTGAAGCGAATATGATTAGCTATTCTTGTTTGTTCTGCTATCTGCACATTTGGAAAATGATATCTCGCGATAACTGCAGTTACATATTTTAGTATAGTTGTTTGTTATTAATATTATTTTAACCACCTGTAAATTGTAATACCTGTATATCTGCAATACCTATCTCGAGCGTACAAAAAGCGTAATACACAGGACTGGCCTCAATGATTTTCTGTTTTTTTCTCAGTGTTGATTTCATCCAAATTTGTGGATTCTGCGTTAAAATGTCCGTTGTTATAATATAATACATTTTATACGTATATGTATCATTATGTCGCATACTCGCATGCGTTTCGTTTAGAGATTACAAATTGCAATATCAACTACGTAAGAAATTAATAATATATGGTCGTATTATGTGTTTACAGGTGATCCGATGATGTCGTCTATGAAACCGGCTCCACTGCAGTTTGTCAAGCTGGCACCGTCCGATCTCTATCGTTCGGCGCAAGACCAGCTGAACAAAACGGCTGCAGTGGTCGTCAAGCCAAAACCAAAAGAATTTGATGCCGAATGGCAATCGGTGAGCAACAGTTATAATATTATTAATTCGTTATTATATGTAATATACGCCCAATAAAATATATTGCAATAGCTACCTTCAAAAGTGATATATAAAAAAAAAAAAAATTATCACGAAACTCGTTAGATATTCATAGTGCATACTTTGATAATTGAATAATATATTATTTAGATATTAATGAGATTTTAACAATTTCAGTTAATATAATTTATATTAAGTACTCATTATTAATTTTATTAAACTCGATCGTTGCGTTTAAATTATACGATCTTATTCTTAAAGTAAACATATCAAACAGAAATCAAGAATATCTGGTTATTCGTAACGAAAATAAGTATTTAGATGGAATTGGCTTTAAAAAAATGTTCGTAAAATATTCGGGTTTTATAAGGTCAAATGATTCTATGGTAATGATTTAATTTATTTTTGTTGGTTAATATGTTCGTTGGAGTAAGTACTTGTGTTGTAAATAACCTAATTTTTTGTGGAATAGTAGGTAATATTACTAATATTGTGTGTTTTATATTTGTAATTCTATTAACCTTTTTTTATATTATCAAAGTGATAGAATCAGTAGATCTTCAGTATAATAATAGCGGTAATATGACAACTAGTTTTGTAATAATTATCGATGCGCGAATCGTAACGGATGTCGGGATATATATATATTATATACCTATAGTGTGTACAAGTTGATTTAACGATTAAAACTGATATAATGTTTGTTCGCAGGACTTGGACAATTGGAAAAGTAACCGGAGAAAACAACAGGAACACATTATCGAGCGATTGGTAGAGGTGAAGAAATTTGAAACGGATAGGCTGGACGATGGGTTCCGGAAAAGGAGCAAAACGTTTAACGAGATGATACAAGAAAGGTAAGGGTAGCCATAACTGGTCACATCATTTCACGGGCTTAAACGACACTTTTGAATGTAGCAATTTCATACTTCCCATTCGATTTTACGAAGGATTTTACTTTTAATACGTGACGTATAAAAAAAAAATACATTTATACAAAACAAACGAATGTTTTTGAAAATCGTTAAATTAAATCTATTGACATTCGCATAATTATTATGTGTACCTACATACGTACGCAATCATATATAGGTAGGTATATTGTGTCCATAAAAAATATAGGTTAGATATTATTCATTATTCATATACCATGCAGCATTCAAATGTATTGATGTTTTCGTTTCGTAATATTTTCTACCTGCAGTAATCGAAGAGTCACCGCCATATTTATAAATAGATATAGCATTCAATATCCTTAGAATTTGAAATGAGAATATGATTGAATCATTAAAAAAAAAATGACGATCAATAATATAATAAAAAATCTAAAATAATTGTATGCAATGCGAAATGTATAAAAACGTATCCTTCGAAAATAAGTTTTATGCGCTTAAACCATATAAATGTATGCAGTAACGTGCGTTATTTCACAATTTTGGTTTGTTTCATATTAAATGTCCTAACCGCAGTGAAAGTATTTTTAAATTATTGTCTTGTTGGTTTATTTATCTCTGATGACTTATTTCATGGTTATTATATTATTATTATTGTTTTATACAATGAAACGTAAAAATAAATCGGCTCTTAATTGACTTAAATGGTTATTCGGTATAATGTGTGTATAGGTTTATATGTATTATGCATAATATGTTACATTTATTCAATGATTATTTTAAACCAAATATTATTGGAACTCAACACATTCACAACATAACTGCAAACTGTGTTTCAACATAAACATGTTTGTAATACATTTTTTAATTATTATATTTATTAACTTTTCGTTGTGAACAATACACAATATTCCCAAGATTTAAAATAAATATACGTACCTACCTAATTATTTGTTTTCGCATGTTCAATTAACTTAGTAGCTATATGCGATATTGTGGTTAAATAATTGAAGGCAAGTGTAAATTACGTGATTTAAAAAATTATTTTTCTTCAAATCTTTACAACTGAAAATACAAATATCTTATGTATACCTACAAATTGCGAGATTTAGTTGGAGAATAATATGTTAAATTATTATTGGATGGTGTATAGTTAAAATACGTCTTGTTTCTGACTGTGATTATATTATTATTATTTGGAAATATCTCGGTAAAAAAGTTATATACTTATATGATTGTTTATTATTAAAATTTGTTAACTTTCAGATCTAATAATGTAAAAATATCCGGAAAAGTTCTCAGGCATTGGTTATGTACTGTAAATATGATTTGCTTGTATTTAATTTTAATTAAAATAATATAAGAACTTAAAACTTAGGTAGGTATGTCTTATGTTAACAATTCGTTTTGAGAATTTCTTCAAAAATTGTGTAATACATATATACGATGAATCATTGGTTACACCGCTATTATATAAGTAAACATGAATAATTGTAGCTAATGGTTATTGTGGTATCGCATACACAGGTTAAATATTTAGTAAATATTATGTTAAAACCATTGAACAAAAATTTAAAGCAAACACCTTCATAACATTATTAGCTGAATCAATTGTTGTTAAGATTTTGTTAGACATTTCGCTAATGCCGACTTCAATACCAAATATCATAAATACTGTGTACGTTATCATGCTCTATAAAATACATGTATGTTGTACACCTATTGGGTATAACCTACACTTAAATATATATATATTTTTTGAAAATGTTTGACTTATTGAAACATTTATATGTAGCAGTAGTTATGTATTGTACAACGATTTAAACTTTGGTGTTCAGGTCGGCAAACGATCCATTTACATTCACTTTTTATTCATTTTGAAAAGTGTGAAAAATAACGTTGCGTCACATTATATCTCCGCAGACATACGAAACTCATATTGTGTTCATACAATTAATATACAATACAAATGTCTGAAAAACGATATAATGATATATTATGATATTATATGTGTAACACAAGCATACAACCACCGAGCGATTAGTATCTAGCTTTAGTACCCACTTACCTGACTATCAGATATTCGAATATAGGATTCAGGTGTCCAGGTGGCGATAGGCCCCGTAGAATGTAATATTGTTTTGCGTTTGACGCAAACGAGGAAAACCGATTCCGCGTTATTAACTCAAATATCAAAATACCAGCCGCATATAGTTATTATAAAATCTATCTTCAAAAATCAGGGACATACAATATGTAGGTACCTACTTGTATATTATAGTCGAATGGATGTAGTAAAATATTCGATCATATACACACTAGTATACGACTGCTTCTACGTGTAATATGCCATATTTTATGCTTGTAATACAGCGTTTTACATGATATAAATTATATATTATTATACTGAGCGTTTATATAATTCCCAAATAACTTTTTCCCTTGTTATTCGAAGACCAAAAGCTTATGGGCAGCACCCGAGTATCGGAATATCTATTAAACAGATAAATAGTACATTGTAGGTATATGTATATCAGTTCGTACGATCTTGTGCTCGAGTTCATTTTGCAAGATTATGCAAGATCCAAAAACTAGTTTTGCTCAAATATTTACGTTTTTCCGGTTTTTATGAAAGGGACTGGGAATTTTTTTATTTTGACCCCTTCAAAATATCAAATAAATCGAATTTCCAACCAGAAACCACGCTCAAAGTTAAAGATTGAAGATTTATTGCTCTCAAAGTTGACGCCGGGCTAAAATAAAACACACACACGCATATAATTGTAAAGCCAATTGTACGCATTCTTTGCTCCGTTCAGAATTTAAAATACAATTTTAATTTTCTTCACTATACTGTACTTATTTGTAGCTAGTATATTTTTATCAGGTATAGGTTATGCTAATTTTGCAGTTGGATGATATTTGATGATAATTACTAATTATTTTTGGTTTATAAAAAATGTAATCTATATCATTATTAGCCATTAGGTATATCGTATATGCACGCGTGTACTATATAATAGTTTAGTGTACGATAGTGATGTTGGTGTCACACACATGTATATTTCTTAAAGGTCGACCGTTGTTACTTGCTACCATGTTCATGTTAAACTATATATTTGAAATCATACTATTTTATTGATCCTATTCGCTTTTGAATATTTCATGAACAATTTTTCATACACGAACACGGTGTGTTGTTTGTTGTACTTATACATATTATAGTGTATTAAGTATATAAGTAATCGATAAAAAAAAATTAGACTTTTGTCGTTGTTGTTTTCGTATATTATGTAGGTACCAGCTTATATTTTATATACACCTATAACACCTTTATCGTAACTCCATTGATTACCAGTCGCAAAAATATGTGCATATAGGTACTTTATTCGAGGTCGTTTTATTTTTTATAATTTTTATCACTATCAAGTCAGACGGTTTTTTTCAGATTGGTTTATAATATTATTTACGAGATTTTCTCGCACGAATGTACACTATATTAAAATGGATAAATTTAATATGAAATTATATCTGCTGCAGGCTGTAACTTTATTATATCTGTTTTCCACTCTTTCAGCCTATCGAAATGATGGGGTTTTCAATAATATTAGACATTATAATATACTAATTAATTTACTCATTATAATATTTTGTTTCCATTTTAATTATAGCTCGATTGTCCCATTTGCATTTCAGTCGTTGGCGTTGGGTTGTGATTTTTAATTGAGACTTAATTTTCCAATAATATTATGTATACATATCTATAAATTATTATACAATAAGTATGTAATATGTTTAATGTTTATACTGCTAAATGTAACCGTATAACGTGTGATTGATATACGTTGTAATATAACTGAACGGTCACAATCGAATGTGTGATTTTTGTTAACTGGGACAATGTACAGCTAATGACGACTAGGAAAAAAACTGTACGTTCTAGGTATAGAAAAATGTATAGGCATGTTTTTTTTTTTGTTTTGGAAATTTACGCAAAAAACCGGTTGAGTAGACTCTCGTGAGAATCTCTACACTATGGCTGTTCTAAGATAACGCACTGTGCATGTTAAATCACTGTAGCAGCAGCAAAACTATAAGTGCAGCGGTTGTAGAAGCAAACAAGTGCTTATATATTTGTAATGTAAACTTTACCAAAAATCAAGTTTAGAATTATTTTTGTTGATTTTTAAATATTGCGTCATTCTGTGAGAATTTCTTATATTTATTGTCACAATGTCACATAATGTGTAAGTACATTACACACCAGTCATTATGATGGCATTTTATAAAAAAAAAATACGTGTACCTATACTCGTAATGCAGATTCTCCGAGTGTTATTTAATATTCCAGTTATTATATATGCCAACTTAATCGTACATGGGATTGAACAAACATCGGTATTTTCATTTGCATAATATTGTATTATGAAATGAATACAATTTCTTTTGTTGTAAATAGTGATTTATTTAAATTTCGACGGTGATTTATTCGAATTATTTATAGAAATGATTTTTAAGTTAATTATTCTCAAAATTATGTAGGTCGAATGGAATGATAATATTTGATTTTTAGGTCGTTAAAACTCGATTGCGGCGGTAGTTATATTCCTACACTACAGTCGTATAGAACAGTGGACGTGATTGATAAATTAATTAAACCGACATATATCTGGTTAATTGGCAACGTAGTTATTATTTTACATTCGTGCAAAAATTTGATCTATTTGTATCTTTACTCTCGCGCGGACAGTAATTTCGTTAAAAAAATAATTATTAAGTATTATTGTTCGGAGGTCAACGAACGCGTTTAACCTATCGACGATACCTGTAAAATAGGTTTAGCTATATATATATATAAGTGTAACTGTGTAAGTATCATTTATCTTGAAAGTTTACCGCAAAAATCGGTCAGTACGTCTTGGGTTGTCTTTTGTGGTGGTGGTTGTGGTGGTGGTGGAGGGGGG